ACGGGGCGCCCAGCTTGAAGCGCCTACGGGCGGACCAAGCTGGGTCTAAATGTCAAAATTACATGGAATTGGGCACCCAAAAAGGATTAAAAAAATTCTTCTTACCATTTTCCGGCACCTGCCTTGGCAGGAGCAGCCCAAGCTACATTTGATACCCTGACTAGATCCATAACATCATAATTTAGGCCCAGCAAAAGAAGTAAGGCACTTGCAGCCAGGTTTTCCATTTCAAATGAAGCTAGTTATCCTGCCCTCTCACCCAACTCTTAGCAGGGGTGATCCCCATCACGTGGAGATCACAGGGCTAAAAAAAAAAAAAACCAAAAAAAAAGCCTTTCGTTTTATCCGCATAGGAGATCTAGAATAAATGAAGAGTGTCCGTGAACTTCATTCAGTCACACCTCAATTAAATTAGGTAATAAAGAATTGATATCTAGGACACTCTATGGAACCTACAATAGGTGATCCTCCCTCTGACCTGTGCTGTAATCAGTATTGTCAAAGGTACGTCATCACCCGTCCGAGAGCGAAAGCGGCACACATTATATTAAGTATATGAGAAATTTCGTTTTTGCATGACATCTGTATCACTTTCGGATGGGAACGTTTTTACTCACGGAGGAGGAGAGCAATTTTACTCCTTGGTGATGGAGCAAATTCGCACCTTTCCCAGAGTGAAAGGGGGGGTGAAACTGGAGTTAGCTATTTTACTCAAAAAAAAAAAAAAAATCGCTCCCCTTTTTCTAAGAATGAAAGGGGGGTGAAACTGGAGTTAGCTATTTTACTCCCTTTTTTGAGAAAAATCGCTCCCCTTTTCCTAAGAGTGCACCGAGCTTCTGGGCCGACGTCATTCTGGGAAAGGGAACTTCTCTGTATGACTAGACTACCAAACCAAACCAAACACATACCAAGCGGAACGAAACGAACGGGGAGAGGTGGTGCGTCTCATTCGTGGAAAGGAGAGGTTGGGACTCGACGGGATGATCAAGATCTTAAAGCTGTGAAGAATCCACTTTTCCTAACATGAGGACTACGAAGGAAATGCATAGATTGTTTCCAGCTGAAGGAATTTGCTGCCAAGTGGTATGAAGATAAACATTGTTCCTCGGTCTCCGTGATGCCGGTTGGAATTCCAGCAATTTCTTTCAGAACGAAATCGAGTTTTCGACCCATTCCCTCCTTTCGACCAAGTTTAGTAGTACTGGCAGACGAAGGGGAGCTCGGTGGAGCAAGGGATGTCGAACCAGTAGCTCCCCAAAAGACTTAGGCAATTCTTGTCTCGTCCTCCGTTTGGGGCTTGCTGCTGGCCCGCAGGGAGGCTGTCGTTCGTTCCCCACCATTTATAGGATGTTGTCGGCGTGTTGTTCACCTGGAGGAAACCTGTGAGACGCGAATGGTCGAGACATCAGCCGGAATGCAGAACACATGACTATGTGCAACGTACAACGAAATATACCCCATCTAGGAAAATACCATTTTACAAGAACTCATTACACCGAAACATTAGGGAAACTGACTTTTTCGAGAAAAAAAGTGGGACGGGAAAAAGAAAGTGAAATGAAGGCGTTGATCTCATTGTTCGTAAAACATATTTTGGTCAGGGTCAGGTAATGAGTTAAAGGGGGCTTGGGGAAAATATTGTAAAGGCCCAGCCGGCACGACACCCGGTGAGTGGCCTGGCAGGACTGCCGGTATGCGAGGGAAGAGCTCTCTATGAGTCTCTATGAGTCGTCTCCCCTATTTTTCTATCACGATGAGAACTGATTACATCCCACTCATCCAATCTTTCCGCTTATCGTCCACGGGCGATAAGCATCTACCCTTTTATCCTGTGGGATTAGATATTCCCACGTCTTGAACCTTTTTATCCCTGGAGTAGACGTTCCCGATCCCCTAATCCCTTTCGTCTTGTTACGGGAGTCCGAGCTTTCCCGTTTCCTCTTTTATTTCGTGTCTGGTACACGGTACTCAAGACACCGCGGGTCCGGGTGGAGGGGCTCAGAAGAGTACACGTACGTCAACAGTACCAAACATATACTTTATTTTCCTTCCTTTGCGCGCACACAAAGATGAGTCAGTCTTTGCGTCGAGTCTCCTAGTCGACGATCAATTCAGTGCCGCTGTCGGAGCTTGAAGTCTCCGACAGATGTCGGTGTCGCTTCCTTTGGGGGAGGTCACTCGTTGTTGTCTCCCTCAGGGTCTCGGAGGTCACTGATCCTATGAGGGGGGGGGGGGGGGGGGGGAGGAGGTCACTCGTTGTTGTCTCCCTCAGGGTCTCGGAGGTCACTGATCCTATGAGGAGGGGGGGGGGGGAGAGAAGGGATGAGACTTCCTAGGGCCCTGCGTTCGCTGGGGACTAAGTCCTGCTGGTCAGCTCGGGGTTTGGGAGGAGGGTAAGGGCTCTCAGCCGATGGTCACCAAGGACATGATCGGGATCGCCGATACGGCCGCTCGCCGTGTTTGAGGTCAGTGGACGGTCTGTTGGGCGCAGCGGGGACTACTCACGGGTCGGAGCTAGGGAGTGTGGTCGTTAGGGGATTGGGGTTGTGCTTTTGGATCCTTCGGATCTATTTGGATTTCTGCTAGGTCGAAAGGGGGATTGTTTTTCGGGGAGTTTCTCTCGGTCGCTTAGCGTCGGTCGCTTGCGTTTTTGGTCGTTGGGGATCGCCGGGATTGTTGTGGGTCGTTGATCCGGTCGTTGTTTTTGCTTGCTTTTTTATTTATGAATATAGGAGCTAAATGTATGGTGGGCCCCCGCATGTGGTGGACCAACACATGACTCCCGCCCACCATGGTGAGATCCTCCAACCATCAGGGCTGGCAGAGTGCAAGACCCTGGTGGAGCTGATGTCGTAGCCATAGGAAGGTGTCCCATGGCTAAAGTGCGTCGACGTGTCTGGAAACCAGATCCGTCTTCGCGCCTGGATCCCTCCCGTTTTCAGGTTTTAGTTTTTACATTTTAGATATATCCAAAGACAGAGCGGCCTTTTACTGAGAATCAACCTATACTTTAATAAGTTAGTGAGTCGGGGCTGGTTAACTTTAGGTCCACTTGTTCAAGAGGTTAAGAGATTTATGCCCTAGCAATTACGTGAATTTATTTTAGTGCAGGGGTGCCCTAGGAGGTGGCCCGCAGGCCATCGCTTTGGGCACCCTTGATCTAG